GTGAACCTGCAGGGCTGGTGCCTCAAATGCCCCCCTGCTACCTCTTAGCACCCCCCTGCAGGCCCCTTGTCTCTTAGCGACCCCCTAAGGCATCCCACCGCCCCCCAGGGGGTGGTACCGCCCACTTTGGTAACCACTAGATTAGACGAAAGGATCCACTTGTCTCTATAACCCTTTTGAATGCCAAACCCCAGCGTGGTCCTTTATCCCTCTGAGAGTTAAAGTAGTACTCTCTGGATAACAATCACCCGCCTATCATTTGATGTCACTGACCAAATGAATCATTATAGACCTAAGCTTGAAATCAACTGTCCATCTGTAGACCTTCCTAATGGTGGTCATTTCTCCCTTTGAGATTCAAAGCTTTCCCAAATCAAGCACTTTTAGCACTCAGTGCTGGATAACATTCATCAGTGAAAACTGCAACAGAATGCTGTGGTAATCCTGATCACTGAGCTTAATAGAGCGACATCCTCTTCCCCAAAAAATCTATTTCCACTCCCCCTTCCTCTTCTTCACCCCCCGACTTGCTTTCGCAAGCAGCCAACATTCCACACCCATGAGTGTTCTGCATTCTAATTGGTCTGTTGGGGAGAAACACACTCTATTAACCTTTCTCTCTAAGTATATTTTCTATTTCTACATAAATTGGGATTCTCCCAAGTTTACTACTAGCTCCCTCTTGTGTGTCAATGGTGTCAAGTCGCAGGAGCCATGCCTGCACAGTTAAAATCTTCACAGGAGTGTTTCCTAGCCTTTTCATCTTCCTTGTAAAGTGGAAGTACAAACATACTATCTAGAAATGCTGTATTATTACGCATTGCTCTATATTTGATCTACAGCAAGAGCCTCTCTTGTGAGTCCCTCTAAGGTGGGACTAGAATGTAGTCGTGCTTAGAACACTCTCCCCCATTTTTTTAACATCATTGTTGTTGTTGTTAGTCACAAAGTCATGTCCAACCCATTGTCCGACCCATGGACAACGTTCCTCCAGGCCTTCCTATCCTCTACCATCCCCCAGAGTCCATTTAAGGTCACATCGACTACTTTAGTGACTCCATCCAGCCACCTCATTCTCTGCCATCCCCTTTTTCTTTTGCCCTCAATCGTTCCCAGCATCAGGCTCTTCTCCAGTGAGTCCTTCCTTCTCACGAGGTGGCCAAAGTATTTGAGTTTCATCTTCAGGATCTGGCCTTCTAAAGAGCAGTCAGGATTGATCTCCTCTAGGACTGACCAGTTTGATCACCTTGTAGTCCAAGGGACTTGCAGGAGTCTTCTGCAGCACCAGAGTTCAAAGGCCTCAATTCTTTGGCACTCAGCCTTCCTTATGGTCCACCTTTCACAGCCATATATTGCAACTGGGAAAACCATAGCCTTGACTATACACACTTTTGTTGGCAGGGTGATGGCTCTGCTTTTTAATATGCTGTCTAGATTTGCCATACTTTCCTCCCCAGGAGCAAGCAACTTTTAATTTCTTGGCTGTAGTCCCCATCTGCAGTGATCCTGGAGCCCAGGAAAATAAAATCTGTCACCTCCAAGAAAAAGAATTATTTCAGATTTGCACATAGTTGTCAACCAAACAAGTAGAGTTATAAATTCTGGGTTTTTTTCCTACTCATGTAAAAGAGACAGAAGGGAAAAGGGTGTGTGGGTGATTCTTGGCAGCTACTTGTCTGCACATGTGCAAGCATTCCTTCATGGATTTAGCCATTGTATTATGCCATGGTTTCTTAACCTTGTTTATTCAATAATACATAATTAGACTAACCGCACTGTGGCTTCAGTGAAGTTTGAATCAACATGAACATGCTTGCAGGAGAGTTGAAGGAGTTGTAATCAAACACCTCTCAAGAACACTAGTCTGAGGAAAGCTCTGTTCAAGATAAAAGTAACTACAAAGTGAGCAAACCACAAGAAAATGTGGAAAGGAAGCCTATTAAAACAACTGAAAAAGGAAAAGACTGTCCCAATTAAAAGGTGGTCCTCCAGGGTTAAGATGATAGAGAGGGATACTTAGAAGTAATTTTGCTAGAAGGTGCCTAGACAAAAATCAAACCATCTGTTATGTATGTAAGTTTCAAATGTTATGGGATCCCCCTTGGTTTATTTCTTTATTTTATTTGTATCCTGCCTTTGTCATTTTTATAAACAACTCAAAGCAGTGAACATATTTAGAGTGGAGTGGAGTGGAGTGGAGTGGAATGGAATGGAACAGAACAGAACAGAACAGAATAGAATAGAATAGAATAGAATAACAGAGTTGGAAGGGACCTTGGAGGTCTTCTTGTCCAATCCCCTGCTTAGGCAGGAAACCCTACACCACTTCAGACAAATGGTTATTCAACACCTTTTTAAAAACTTCTAGTGTTGGAGCATTCACAACTTCTGGAGGCAAATTGCACCACTGATTAATTGTTCTAACTGTCAGGAACTTTCTCCTTAGTTCTAAGTTTTAATGCTCCTCCTTCCTATTTTTCCCCACAACAACTCTTTGATGTGAGTTGGGCTAAGAGAGGGTGACTGGCCTGAAGTCATCCAGTGGCTTTTGTGAATCAGGTGGGACCAACGCTTGCATTCTCCTAGAGATTGGCCCAAAGTTGGTTGAGCTGGTTTTCATGACTAAAGCCGGACTTGAACTCACAGCCTCAAAGTTTCTAGGTGGTGCCTTAACTTCTAGAGGCTAGACCAAACTGACTCTCAAACTGATCCTTATTCTGGGTTGTTTTCTCTATTTCCCCTGCAGGGACTTAAAGCCAGAGAACATTCTCCTGGATGATGATGGTGAGTGCCACGTGTCACATGTTTGAATTGTCCCTGTTATAGACTTTCAGAATAACTTTTACCTACAAATATCAGAGATCACAGCCAGATCTTCCTTCCTTCAAATCATCTTTCACCATTGAACAACACAAACACATTTTTGGGCAGATTAGAACTTCGACCCCTTCTGTCTTTCCTCATGAAAGATCACAGGATTCCCATCATGATTTTGTATCCTCTATAATCACCTTCTCTCTTCTTGTATCTAGGGCATATACGGATCTCAGATCTGGGGCTGGCCATTAAGATCCCCGAAGGTGACACCATCCGTGGCCGTGTAGGAACTGTAGGCTACATGGGTATGTGTTGGAGAACTGCTCCAGGTCTTGTGAGATTGCTGGCTCAAGAGAAAGCTGGCTCAATCCATGGACCTTCATTTTGGATCTATCTGACCACACAGGCTGAGAGGGCATGGTACTTTAAAACAGAGGCAGAAAAGCTATTTTAGACTGAAAATCAAATTTCTACCTTTACAGTTAGTCCTTGACTTGCAGCCACAATTGGGACCAGAATTTCTGTTGCTAAATAAGGCAGTTATTAAGTCCGTTGTGCCCGATTTTACAAACTTTTTTGCCATGCTTGTTAAGTGAGTCACTGCAGTTGTTAAGCAAATCTTGTGCTCGTTAAGGAAATCCAGGTTCCCCCATTAACTTTTCTTGTCAGAAGCTGGCTGGAAAGGTTGCCAAGTGCCCAAATTATGATCATGTGACTGTGGGGATGCTACAACAGTTATAAGTGTGAGGACCAGTTGTAACTCACTTTTTTCAGTGCTGTTCTGACTTTGAACTATAATGGCACAGTGGTTAGAATGCAGTATTGCAGACTAACCTGCTGACCATCAGCAGTTCAAATCTCACCAGGCTTAAGCTTGACCCATCCTTCCAAGGTCAGTCAAATGAGGACCCAGATTGTTGGGGGCAATAGGCTGACTCTGTAAACTGCTTAGAGCGGGGCTGAAAAACACTGTGAAGCGGTATATAAGTCTAAGTGCTACTGCTATTTGAATGGTTGCTAAATGAATGGTTCTAAGTCAAGGACTGTCTGTATTGTCTTTTCTGGTTCTGTTGTTATGCACATATTTATAAGTAAAATAAGGAGAGGAGTCCAACAAAAAATTTTATCAATCCAGAAATGGTTTGTTACTGCCTTCTTTTTTTTCAGTTTTCCAAGGTAGACTACAAACCCAGACATTCTTTCATCCAGGAATTAACCAGCTCCAACCCTTTATCACTTTTTCAACCAGCCACTCAGTTAAGTGCTGCTACTTGTTAAAAAGCAACACATTTAATTCCTTCCCCTTATAAGGGGGAGAAATCCTTGCCCCTTGGATTTTGCATTATCACCCGTGATGGGTAATGGTTCTCCAAGATGCAAAACAAAAGAAGATTCTTTCTCACAGTTTGCCACCCAATCAAGTGCTTTACATGAAATTGTTGTCTCTTAACTGTGCTCTCTCCACCCTTCTCCTCCTCTCCCCAGCTCCTGAAGTAATTAACAATGAGCGCTACTCCTTCAGCCCAGACTGGTGGGGACTTGGCTGCCTCATCTATGAGATGATTGAGGGCCAATCACCCTTCCGGGCCCGCAAGGAACGGGTGAAGAGAGAAGAGGTAGAAAAGCGGGTTCAGGACGACCAGGAACAGTATTCAGACAAGTTCTCTGAAGATGCCAAAACCATCTGCAAGTCGGTGAGCCAAGAAGATAAGGAGGAATCTTTTCCATGAGTCTGTAGTATCAGATGGCAACTCCTACATGCCCTGAGTTGATGTCAACTCGGGGTTGACTACTTGAACCCCTTTTGGCACTATCAAGAAGTACTTGGCCATTGTCTTCTACTGGGCTATTATTTTAGCTTCTCATTCATTTGGTCTGTCAAGTAAGGACCAACTAAGAGTTTTGTGATCAGCCAAGATTGGCTAATCTGCTTAGCCGGGCATAGGTAAATTGTGCCCGAGTGTGTATATACAGGTGCACAAGTTTATACGTGTGAGCTGACCTGGATAGAGTGTATTTAGTCAAGCAGCCCCACATATTATTCCCTTAAGCTTACCAGATTTCCACTTTGCAGGGGTTTTCAAAAGCAATAATATAAATATTTCTTTTACATTAAGAGAAGCAGAAAGGGATGCTTCTGATCACAGCCATTCTACTGTTGTAATGCATGCTTAGTTCTTAATGGACTCCCTGTTATTTCATTTCCATTGGTTTAATTTTTAAAATCGGTTGATATTAATCATATTTTTTTAAAAAAATGCCTTTGACAAAGTGGACAAATCCTTTCTTTTCCGCATGGACGCTTTCTTCCTCATTACAAGAAACTGTATTTACAGGATAAACATTGGTGAAATATTCTGGACTCAAGTGGGTTTGAGAACCAACTTGGTTTGTGTTCCATGGCAGAAAAAGCCAACTTGGGCTTGGTTTACAAAGTCTACTTTAAAAAGTTCTGAGTTTAATGTTGTCACAGGCTTTACTTACCAAAAAAGTCCTCTTTCCCCCCTCCCCGTTTCAGCTCCTGACTAAAGATCCTAAGCAGCGGCTTGGAAACAAAGGTGAGGGGGCCGTCCAGGTGAAGCAGCATCCATTCTTCAGGACAATCAACTTCAAGCGACTGGAAGCTGGGATTATGAAGCCCTCATTTGTGCCAGATGTAAGTTCTTACAAGTAAGAGTGAGGAACTCAAGGACAGCATTAAGAAAACAAATAGATGGGCAAATGTTTTATCTGGAGGGGTGAAGTGTTAAGCCAGTGCTAAAACTTTCCTCTTTCTCCAGCTGTTGTAGTCGTCATCGTCATCATTTTGTATTGAGATGTTCTTTGTTGGCAAGGTTGTTATCATGCAAGATTGTTTCTGAGTTTTCTGCTTCAGCAGAGGAGAATTCCCTGGTTTTTAGCAACTGTGAATGCACAATTTGGGGCCCAAATGTAGAATTCTAGAAGCTTCAGAATGAAAAGGAGGCAGGAAGGCCTTGGGCCATGAACTGTCCAATCTGTGATATTTCAGGCTTTTAGTTCTCTTCTTTTTCTTCCGAGTAATGGGGAACTCCTCTCTGCTTTGTGCGAGTCTTTTAGATCTTGAAAAGTACTATCATATCCCGCTTCCTCACCCTAATCGTATCTGGTTTCTTCTGCTTTTTGAAATAGTATTAGTGTCTACATATTCTACGCATCATCCTCACCAGTTTTCCCCCTCCCTCCAATTCCAAATCTGTCCCAAAGAAGCTAAATAAAAGAACCATAAATTAACTTATGGGGTTCCTCAGTATCCACTTTTTACCTTTTTAGTTAGATTTACTATCATAAACTGAGCTAGAAGGGAACTTATAGATCTTCCTAATTCAACTCACAGTTGAGGCCATGAATTTACAAAACCATGCCTAACATGTGGCCATGCAGCCTCCCTCTCTCCTTTCAAAAGAGAAATCCTCCTCCACTATTCTGGCTGGATGGTGGCACTGCTTAATTACTGTTATCTTCAGGAAACTCTCCCTAAAGTTCATTCTGAATCTTCTGTCTTTTCATTTCGATTTATTAATCCCAGTCCTTCCTTTGGCTTTCAAAGGGACCAAATCCATTTCTCCTCGCACATGACTTGCACATCTGGATATGTAAGTCCTGGAGATGACAAACTTACTGGAATCCTTGTCTTTCCCTTAGCCTCGGGCTGTGTACTGTAAGGATGTACTGGACATTGAACAATTCTCCACTGTGAAGGGTGTCAACCTAGACCAAACCGACAATGACTTCTATGCCAAATTTGCCACAGGCTGTGTCCCAATACCCTGGCAGAACGAGGTAAGGAAAGGACATACAAATATTTATCTATCAAATTTAGAAACTGTCCATCTCCCTCACAGAGTCAAATCTGGGAAGAGACTCATGTATTGTAGTTGTATATACCTCTAAGCTAAAAGAAGATCATTGTCAAAGCCTCTTGATCTAAGGAGGCACATAGAATGGGTTGTCCCAAATTTCCATTCTGTCCAGTTGTTTTAAGGATTTTTATTATATAGCATCCTGTTTCCCCACCATTCTTACCAATTGCATCATCTTCTTTTTATTTAGATGATCGAGACAGAATGCTTTAAGGATCTCAACATCTTTGGACCAAATGGCACCCGATCCCCAGATCTGGACTGGAAGCAGCTCCCTGACCCACCCAAGCGTAGCCTCTTGCAGAGGCTCTTTCGACGTAACGTAAGATCCAATCTTGCTCCTTTTTTGCTATGTATCTTTGCAACTATTAATCCCATACTTACAACCTTCAATATTACTCAACCTAACTAAGCAATATAGCACTGTGCCTTCAGCTTCAAGATATACTTTAGGTACTTCATATATCAGAAGTTTGTTTTTGAATGGACATATTTCCAGGTAACTATGAATATGGGTCTTCTCCAAACTGGCCAGCCAGCAATTGTGGAGATCTCAATTCCTGGAACTCTCAGCAATGGCCATGCTGGCTGAAGAATTCTGAGAAATGAAATCCCATGTCTGGAAGTCACCCAGATTGGAGAAGCCTGGTATATAGGCCCTTTGCCAGAGACTGCAGATTGGAGGAATTTTATGTGGCTCAATGATAAAGCGCTTCAGGAGTTCCCAAGTTAGATCTCTGGGTGCCTGTTACATCCTTCCTGAAACTCTGGAAAGCTGCTGCCAGTCAGTCTAGGTCAGTCTAGATCAGTATTTTCCAACCATGGTATCTTCCAGATGTATGCAGTAACTCCATAAGTCTTCAGCAATTGCTGAATGGGGAATTCCTGGAGTTGAAGTCCATACATTTCGGAAGTTGCTGTGGTGGGGGAATTCTGGAACAGTGGTCCAAACTGAATAAGGCAGTTTCTTAGATTCCTAAGGCTTTGGATTCTTCTGTTTGAAGAACAGCAGTTCACTGGTTGAGCAACTGCATAGCACAAATAAGTTCTTGGGATTATTGCTGGCATCTCAGAACAGAACAAAGATCTTGCCTGTTAATCATGCTAGATAGCAGATTTTTTTCCCCCTGCACTCACCTGTCTTCATTTTTCCCTATAGCCAAGTGACTTCACCATCGGCACCAACGTACATTCCAACCTGTCGGCAGCCCCCTCACCAGCTTGGCCCATGGCACAGGCTCCCTCCTGACCTCTGGAGCTAGCACTCATCCTTGTCTTCTCAGGGTTGCCTTAGGCTGATATATGGAAGTCCCTGTCTGGGGCCAGGCTCTGTTACTGCTGGGAGCCGAAGAAACACAGCCTTCCAATCGGCAGGGCAGCAATGGTCCAGAAGACCTTTGCCACCTCCTGGTGCTGATGTGGATTGGGAGCATGGAGACTCTTCTTGTCCAGAACCTTGGCTGCTGCTTGTTGACAGGGTCTTCCTTCATCTTTCTGTACTTTGACTGCACAGGGAGCATCCATGGCTCTCCCCCATTTTCTTTGTCTCATCACCTCCTGACCCAACTTTCACGGGAGATCAGCTGGGGAGATATACCTGAGAAGGAAGGATTTAAACACAGAAAGAACCACCAATGGTGCCTGGAGATGGCAGAGATGGGGGCTGGAGTCTTACTGGAGAGAAAAAGAGAATGCATAGCTTGGACAAAATTACAATGGGGATGAGAAAGACTCCCCACTCTTGTATTGGTATTTCCGGAGACTCATGGATAAGTGTGTGTTGGTTAGTGTGTGGATGTGTATTGAACTGCTAGCTCCTTGGAGTTCATTCAGGGTTTTTCCAGGGATCTCTCCCACCCACACCATCAATTCTACAGCCTGGGGCCATTGCAAAGCCAGAACATGGAAGACAAAGAAAATTGAAGAGCAATTGGTTGTCTTTCCTTCAGGACATCCTTTCTTGGCTGGTCATCTTCTAGCTGTGCTGGACTGTCCAGCACCTGCCATCCCTTAGCAATACAACCTTCAGACCAGATTGTTGGGCAGGGTCAACTGGAATCCAGGATATGTGGAAATCCCCAGATGCAGGATGCTGCTTTAGAAGCACTCAATAGGAAAAGACAGAGAGGTGAGATGGATGACATCTCAGCCTGCATAAAGTGTTCCCAAACCCTGACTCTAACCTCAACCTGCAGTGTTGAAAAGATATTTTTTAAATCCTACATATTTTAACTTTTATTACAATTGTTTCCATAGGTCTGTCTACTCATTTATTTTATTTCCTTTCCTTTCTGTCTCTGTATTTTCCCCCTTTCTCACATGACCTTTCCTTTTTCTCTTTATGCCACCCAGCCTAGCTGGTTCCTGGTGTATTAAAGCAGATGCAGGGTCTACCCTGATTGTGATCGTATGCGCAAGTATGACGGAACCAGATAATTTCATCTTATTGGTTCCAAAAAGTCCAACATTGGAAAATAAAAACCTCTCTGTAAGAAGAAAAGCAGAATAAGACTGGGCTAAAGTTTTAACCCATAATATTCTGGATTTCTGACTTTCGAAGAGAGTCCCCTTGCCCATCCTACCCCCAGCACAAGGCTTGAGTTTCGCTTGTTTGCGTGGCCCAGTTTCTGGCATGCCATGGCCCAGTTGACACTGTCCTTGGCCTCGGGGTTGGGGACTCCTACCCTAATGTGCTTCGTTTCAGGAAAAAAGGATCATTTTGTTGCTGCTATTGCTAAATAATTGGAATATTCCTGTTGCCTCTTCTCTTTGAAAATGATAGCAATGATGATGCAGAGAGAAATGCATGAAGAGAGCATTTCTCTCTAGGCTGAGAGAAGAAGCAAGAGAAGGAGAAAGGACAACAGTGGAGAGGGGAAGGAAGACTCAACATAGGAAATTTTGTTTGCAAATTTCTCCAAACCCAAACAGGAAGCAGGGCTCTGGAGCTATGTTGAAGAACAGTGTGGAAGTTAGATACTTGTAGCTCTCCAGAGGCTGGTGGAGCACAACTCTCGGCATCTCTTACTCTAGATCTTCCTAGGTGGCCCTGTTGGAAATGGTCATTTAACAACTTCTGGACAGCTATAGATTTTCTACTTGTAAATAAGGCTAGATTTTCTTTAGCTTATAATATACTATTGTAGTGTTCCAGTTTGACCCTGTTTTCCACCTTTGCTTCTCTGCCATTTGTTTTTATGATCCTAGGAGGCTCTAAAGGATAGGATAATAGATCTATGGACAAAGCTGCTGCTTTCCCTTCTGGCTGCCAGAGTGTGGTGCTCTTTCACTGATTTATGTGGCTCAGGTTGAGACTGAAACAATGCATCCATTCTAAGATAACCACAGGGAGCTTCCCAAATTCTGAGGGTCTCCCTTCCAAAGTAATTTGCAAAGGATTGGCTCTAAATGGCTACAGCCATCACACATTGCAAAGGTCAGGGGAAGATAGATCTATTTTTATCAGAATTCCTTCTCTTTATCTTATCACTTGGCTGCTACATGTCCTGCTGAAGGAAGGGCTTGCTCTCAGCCTGGTGCTTTCTTTTTTTAAATAGGCAGAGATGTCCTTGGAATAGGAAGAACTTTCTGGGTGAAATATCAGGGAAACTCATTCTCAGCAGTCAGACTTCAGCCTGGGAATTGCCCTCTGATCCTCCAGCAGCAGGTGTGAAAATTTGGGCTCACCCTTGACAAGCTGAGCCCTAATGAACAGCTTGACCCAGGTAGTGAAGCTCATCTGTTCATTAAATCCCAAGTTCTGGCAAGCCCCGTCTAGAAAGGTTGATTTCTGGAGGCTTAACTCATTAAGAAAGACTGAAGACCAAGTCTGTCTTCGAGACCAGAGAGACAGGAGAGAACTTGGGGCCTTTCTCTTGTGCAAGTGACATCATGCTGATGTTTTGAATGGATGCCTGACTTTTAATAACTGTATGGTAGGCAAAGGATCCACCAGTAGAACCAGAAAGAAATTGCAATATTTTTTTCTGGGTGTGATTGTTTAAAAACTGCACAAATATGGATAATAGTCAAGGAAATAGAGACTTCTCTTAATGCCCAAGGTAAACAACTGAACTTCCTGAGCTGTTGATATTTTTCCACTCCTTACTTTTATTTTTTGGAATCTCAGTTCCTTCTCTACTTCAGTTGCCTCTCACTAAATCTGTAGCATGAAGATTTGTTTTAAAACAAAAACAATCTAAGTAAATAGGCATAAAATCCTGGTACAGGGGCCACATACCCACTTTGCATCCTTGCTCTGCCCACCAGGACCCTTCCAAAAACGTAAGTGCTACACATGCCCCTTGAAAGTTGCCTGCTTTTTTCCAGGTGCCTGTCTAATGACATTTCACTAAAAGGTCAAGCAAGAGATGTTTGCAAAGAGAAGGAGGCCTTGCATAGGGAAAACATACAGCAGCAAAAAGAGGGCCAAGCTTCTTTCCCACCTTCCATTTCTGCACAAAATTTGACTCCACTTGTGGATTATTCCACAAAGCTTCCTGCATTACCATTAGAACACAAATGCAGAGTGGGGATTTGGATTGCTCTGACTTTCAAGAACAGAGGTTCTAGAAAGAACCTCCTGCTCTAATATTAACAGGTCAGGCAGACAATGGTTCAGGTTGCTGTAAAGAGCTGTGGGCGGGCTTTATGACAGATTGGGCATGAATTTTATGGCAAAATGGAACACCGCAAGGGGAAACTTGGATCTATTCAATTAACTCCTTTGTTGAGCCTTATCAGCAGTCTAAAGTAGAAAGGTCTACCATAATGGGAGAAGTTAGACTATGATCTTTGATCTTCCTTTCTGCTCTGTTTAAACAGCTTATCTTCTCTGCCATGTGTTGGCAGAGTACTTGAGGCAGGGGGCATGGTGTTCATACTAGAAGACATGCATAAAGCTTTTCCACATGAAGGAGGATCTGTTCAAATCCAGCATCTTTGAGCAGACATGATGGGGCCCAACAATGACCTCATCGATGCCTGCTCCCCTTCTTAAAGATGCAAAAGATTCCGTTGCCCAAATGGCTTTGTACAAGCAGTCCTCAACTTATGACCACAACTGAGACCAGGCTTTCCATTGTTAAGTGAGATGGTTGTTGAATGAGTCATTGCCCAATTGTATCACCTTCTGTGCCCCAGTTCTTCAGCAAATCCGGCTTCCTCTATTGAGTTGAGTCATTGGAAGTTGGCTGGGAAGGTTCCAAGTGGTGATCACATGACCCTAGGGTGCTACAACTGTCATAAATATAGGCTGAATTGCCGAGCGCCTGAATTTTGATCAAGTGACCGTGGGATGTTGCCACTGTTATAAGTATGAGAACTAGTTGTAAGTTACTTTTTTCACCACTGTTGTAATTTTGAACAGTTGCTAAATGGATGTAAGTAGGGGACTACCTGTAGGATTTCCACTGCCCTCTAATAGAAGGAAAGACATCTCAGCAGTAACAGAATAACAGAGTTGGGAGGGACCTTGTAGGTCTTCTAGTTCAACCCCTGTTCAGGCAGGAAACCCTATACCATTTCAGACAAATTGTAATCCAATCACTTCTTAAAAACTTCCAGTGTTGGAGCATCCACAATTTCTGGAGGCAAGTTGTTCCACTGATTAAATTTTTTCTTAGTTTTAGGTCACTTTTCTGCTTGATTAGTTTCCATTTGTTGCCTCTTGTCCTACCTTTACGTGCTTTGGAGAACACCTTGACTCCCTCTCCTTTGTGGCAACCCCATTAATGCCAACCTGACCCATTGTGCAAGATTTTGGAGAATCTGCTAATTGAAATAGTAGCCTCTCTTGACATATTGACTCCTAGAATTCTTCCAAAAACGTAACTGGTAGAAAGGGAATTGATTCTATAGATGGGTCATCCAATGAATGGATGGATTGGGTGGATTGTTGGAGCCCTGACACAGTGTTTATATCATTTCATGTTAATTCAATCTATAAAATCAGTTACAGACTGAGAGGGGCTTGGTCCAAAATAGGTGAGCTGCTGCTGGGATTTAATTGGCCAATAGTCACATATTGTGAGCACTCTGCCTAAACCTGTCTTGGCTCAATCCCCATCACATACTTTATTGCAGACCTCTTTCTCACATACACATACCTACAGACAAGGATTGGGCAAAAAAAAAAATACAACTTTCAGCCAAAATCAGGAGGAGAGAGAAAGAGGAAAATATCTGAAATTGTGATTTGCACATCACACTAAGCCATACAATGGTTGGCTGGCCTGGAGTTCAGTGTAACGTTTGTTTGCAGCCGGGTATAGTTTATTGAATAAATTGTGGTTATACAGTGGCCTGGTGTGATGGGTGAACCTCATCTAGGTGAGAACCTCCAAAGGAACCAAATAGGAAGAAACTTGAAAGGACTATGAGCAGAATGTTAAGGAACTGTTGCCTTCTTCGTCTGAGAAGAACAAAAGGAGGAAATATTCTGTGGGTGGAGTGATCCTCTTGACTTCAGACCCTTACACTTTTTTTGTATTTCCCTTTTCTTTGTACATCAGTGTTGTTGGCGTTGGTCTAATGCTGGCTTTTTATTTCTTTCTCTTTTTTTACACTGCTCATTTCTGATTCTGGAGCATTTGGGTTCTGACTTCTTGGGTTTTTATTTTGTACATTTGTAAATATTTGTATGTTGAATGTTTGGATGTACATTTTTAAACTTGAAAAAGCTGCAAGCCAAGCCATGTTTGGAAAGGTACCCCTAATGCTTCGGGGTATTTTTTTTTAATTGGGAATACAGAGGGAGGTGGGAGGAAAGAAATGAATCAAAAGTTATTATAATATAAAGTCCCTATTCCAGTCAAAGGAAGCCAGAGCAGAGAGGGGGGAAATTATCTCAATCAGTCAACTGGGATTTCTATTCCTCCCGATTTTAAAATTTCATACAGTATATATGTACTATGGTTGCTGTTTTTTCTTGTTACTTATTCCCAGGGCTGTGTGTAATCTGCATTGAATAAAACATATACACCAAATCTCCACCAAAAAGAGTTGCATTCTCTGAATTACCTGATAAAGCCAGTTTGACCTTAAGGTACCGGGCCAAAAACTAGGAGACTGCGAGTTCTAGTCCTCCTTTGGCAAGAAAGATGGCTGGGTGACCTTGAGCCAATCACCAGGAGGCTGTGAACTCTAGTCCTGTCTTAGCCATGAAAACCAGATAGGTAACTTCGGATCAGGAAGGTAAAGGCAAATCTTACCAAGAAAACCGAAAGAATTGTCCAAGCAGTTACCAGGAAACAAAAATGACACACACATTCAAAGGGGTGGTAGTGGAGTAATAACCCATATGTAATGGAGGATATTTAATTTAAAGGATATTTAATGTTTTAAGGATTAAGCATTGTTTTGCTTTGTTTTTAAACATTGATATATGCAGCAGCCAGTGAATGTTCTTTATCTGGTTACCAAGATGCCCAACATGTTTTTATTTATATAGAATACTAGGAAGCAGTACATCACTAGTCTCAATCTACTTAAAGCTTATTAAATGTATATAGTCTCAGATCTTTTAATGAGATTAGATTCTTCTAGTAGGGATTGAACTCATAGCAGGGGTGGGATGCTACCGGTTCAGTCCGGTTCTATAGAACTGGTAGCTGCAAAGAGCAGCTGACTTCGAACCGGTTTGGTGTTTGGCCCACCCGCCTGCCCGGGCTCTAGGCTGTCCTTTATTCCCTGCTTTTCCCTCCTCAGCTGCTTTGTGCAGCACAGCTGAGGTTGAAAAAGCAGGAAACGAGGAGCACTGGTCAGCTGTCCAGGTGGCACAGCTGATGATTTCTTGCAAACGCTGCACACACACGTGTTATGATTGTCCACAGTTCGGAGAACCAGCAAATCGCTCCACTGGCTGGCCCTGCCCACTCACTCCTTACCTGGCATGCGAGCGTCCAACTTGCCTGGTTTGGTGAGTTGCTATTTTTCCTTCCCCTCCCCCGACCATCAGCTGTTCTGCTGGGCCAGGAGATTTAGATTAGCTAGAAAGCAGGAAGTCCTTGGATTTCTTGCTTTCTAGCTAATCTAAAAGCAGAGCCGAACCTTCCTTAGGATTGAAGCTTCTACTTTTCAGTGCAAACCTAGGTAGCCAATTGCAGAAAGATAGATCTCTAAGTGAATCTGTCATTCTCTAAGCAACTCAATCTGTCTGCCTGCTTTGCCTGATTTGGGGTAAAAGTTGCTCTTTTTTAATAGAAAATTCAATATTTACATACATGGTGTGTTGTGAGTTAATTTTGTGAGTTTGCTTGCAAGCAAATTTTATGTGACAGACTCAGATAGCCAATTGCAGATAGATAGATCTCTAAGTGAATCTGTGAGCAACTCAATTCTGTGAGCAACTGCCTGCCTGCCTGCTTTGCTTGCTTTTTTTATTGCTCTTTTTTATTAAAAAATCAATATTTACATAAATATTTATAATATTTACATACAAGCCATGCCCACACACCACATGACCACCAAGCCATACCTAGTCAGCAAGCCATGCCCACCCAGTCACATGGCCACCAAGGCACAAATTAGGCCACACCCACAGAACCAGTTATTAAGAAATTTGAATCCCATCCCTGACTCATAGGCCACTGAACCTGAGAGGATTGTCCTCAGCAATGTTTCAGAAAGAATATATACAATCTGTCTTTAGAATGATGTATAAGACCATCTTCCTCTCCTAAGCTTTCAAACCAGAGAGATGTATAGTTGCTATATTATGTCCTTATACAGATGGTATTCAGCAGGTTCTGACCAGTTCTGGAGAACTGGTAGTGGAAATTTTGAGTAGTTCAGAGAACCAGAAAATACCACCTCTGACTGGAGATATTACAGTAACCTTCCTCTGCCATGCCCACCAAGCCACATCCACAGAACCAGTAGTAAAAAAAATTGAATCCCACCATTGGTCCTTATGTATGAAGTTATACGTTTTATGAGACCCAAACAGGACAAAATCATCCCTATATGGCTCCTGAAAGTCCATGTAAGTAAAAACATACACAGGATATACATTGTGCAAAAAAATTGTACATAAGGGCATGAAACACAGTAGCATCTGGTCTAGGAGCTTAAGAAAAGGAAGGTGGATTGAGTATATCATTCTAAAAATACTGTACATTCAGAATTACAGCATACCTACACCAAACAGAAGCATCTTCTGTGCTCCCCAATTCCATTAGTTCAAGTAGTGACTTCTCCTTTTTGACCTGATTCAAGATCTCAAGAGACAAGTCAACATGCATGGTTTCTCCTTGCCCTGTAGGACAATACTTGGGCACCCAAGGATCTGCAGACCTTGATAACACGATGTGGTTGACCAAACCAGAGTCCAGTTTGTAGCAGTAAACATTAACTGCTTGTGCTCTTCAGTTTGGCTGCAGAGGGGAAGGCTGAGGAAATAGCTCGAGATACTGGTGCCATCAATGAAGGACTTTCAGGTTGGAACCCACTGGTCACATCAAGAAGGGGAAACTCCAAACCCAGCATGATGGATCTCCTACATTTTAAAATAGGCAAATAAGTAAAGAGGGGTATTTGTGCAAGACCATTAAGCCCCAAGGAGTTTGCCATAGAACCTTTAAGACTACAGCCTAAAATTACCACTGCTACTGTGATTTAAGGACAAGGTCAGCCTGATAGTGGTGAAAATGATAAATTTTAGCTAATTATCTGCAGTTTAGGGCATTCCCTAAATGACCTCAAGCATTTATTATTTACTTTAAGGCTAGGAGCAGAGTCAAGATAGATGAGTGCATTTATCCTTGATAAAGTTTCTAAAATATGCAACATGAAGCATTATTTTTTTTGCCTGATGTTGTACTTGCTTACAAAGTAAGAAAGTAAGATCAGGAAATTAGAAAGTAAGATCAGGAAATTAGAATAAGGGATCAGAAAAGGTGAAGGTTTTTTTCAGAATCTATGGTAAAATTGCAACAGCTAACATCCTGGTCTCCTTTTGCCTGTGTTCAATTCTATGTAAGATATTTGAGGTTAATAAGGTAAGGAATAAGCTGAAGTTAGTTAGACATTTGAATAAGTGCATTTATCTAAAAGTAATAAAGGTTTAACAAAGGTTAAACTGTCTAACAGTGAGAACAATCAACCAATGGAACAGCTTGCCATCGGAAGTTGTGGGAGCACCATCACTTGAGACTTTCAAGAAGAGATTGGACTTCCATCTGTCAGAAATGGTGTAGGGTCTCCCGCTCGGGTGGGGAGTTGGACTAGATGACCTACAAGGTCCCTTCCAATTCTGATTATCTGTTATCTGATCAAGTTTAAGTGCATTTATCTATGGTGCATTTATCTATGGTAATAAAGGTTTCCAAAAATTGCCTGATCAGAAGGAAAGAAAGGAGGCATAAAACATGTGTGACAAGTTTATTATTCTATGTATGGAATGAATGGGCACTGAATTTAATAAGATTCAGTTCAAGCAGGGATGTCAAGGTGTAGCTTTTTAAGATGATGGTGTAGATACACATGGGAAAGTTATGTACAACAAACATTCTGGCTAAATTATGGAAACGCCTTTTGAAGGAACTTCATTCTCTTTTTTTAAATCCCATTTGACAGGGAAGATGTTCTAGCCCAAAATAAATTTAAGTTTTCATTGGTTTTTAAAAACAAACTTAAACAAACAAAACATAAAAACATCAAGCCATCTTCCATATGTATACATACAGTGTGCCGGTTGGTTTACAAATCGTTTTGTGCTTCCATTTCGTAGTCTTCAATTACAATTACATTGTACATAATCTCGTATTTTCAATCAATATATTAAATACATTAATATCATTATTAATCATTTGACTATACTTTTATTCATTCATGTTTTACAAGATAATCATAATTTACTTAGTTTGTTTTATAACAGTTCATATTATCATCCCAAATCTATCCTAAAATCATTTTGTAGATATAATAAGAAAGAAGTACATCTTTATATATTTATTATTTTCTAAAAGTCTACATATTTCATTACTTTATTTTATTGTCTAACCATTGATAGAATAGATCCCAAATTTTATAAAATGGTTTATCCTCTTGTTCTCTAATTTCAAATGTCAATCTACCCATTTCAACACATTCCAATATTTTCTTAATGATTTCCTCCTGTGATGGTGTTTTCTCATTTTTCCAGTTTTTGGCAAATACAATCCTAGCCGCTGTTAATACATTTACAATCAGATATTTCAAGTCTTTACTATATATTTCAGGTAAAATTCCCAATAAAAATATCTCTGGTTTCAAGTCTATATGTTTTTTTGTCATATTTTCCAACCACATGTGGATTTTAGTCCAGTACTTTTTAGCATCCGCACAAGTCCATCACATATGGTAATATGAGCCAGGTGTCTGATGACATTTCCAACATTTTTCAGATTTATTCTTGAACATTCTTGCTATTCTTTTTTTTTTTAAGAACAAGTTTTATTGATTTTTGAAGACAAACAAAACATAAAACATAAAAGTATAAAACCTCCTTTCTAAGAATTACTTATAAATTTTAACAAGGCAAATAAAGCATTATTTTTTAAGACATAGTTCCACATTATCACATTTCCATTTACACATATATATCTTTTCCAAATTTCTCATTATTTCTCCCTTCACTTTTATTCAATTATATTTCTTTCTATCAAGGTTTTATTAATTCTCAATCAGTCATAAGCACACAAAATACATAACATAAAACAAAACATAAAAAAAATAAAAACCCCTTAATTGTCATTTATACATGTCTTTTCCAAATTTCTCTCCCTTTAGTTTTATTCCTCCAAGGTTTTATTAATTCACAATCAAACATAACTAACCAAAACACAAAACATAAAACTTAAGACTTCTTTTGAAAAGTGGCTTAGCCCCAGGTTACATCTTTTTTAACAGACCTAAATCAAATTCATGCTCACCTTATATACCATTCATATCTTATTAACCATTTTATATTTTCTATATAACTTCTCCCATCTTTTCACTCTCTTAATTATGTTTTATTTATTTCATCTTATTTCAAAATCATTATGCTTGTATCTTTTGTCCGTTCTTTTCCAATCATCAATTTATCTCTTCTCTTTAGCAAAAAATTTCCCCTGTAATCACTTTTAAAGTGTGACGCCTTCCCCTAAAGTAAAACTTAAAATAATACATAATTTCCATCCTGATTCTGCGTAGTACATTCTACATATTACATCTTAAAATAAAAGAATAATAAACTTATAGTATAGTTAAGTATATAATTTCCATTCTAATTCTAATTAGTACATTATTTTAGAATAAGAAA